AACTCGGCCTTGCCACTCTTTTCGCGGCATAGCCGTCGCACTTCTGTCCCCCCGCGAATCGGACAGGGACTGGTCATTGCCTGCCTTCGTCCGGGTAGCCGGGACGAATCTGAAGACCTCAGCGGTGAGCCGGCCGCCAGATTCCGGCCCCTGCTGCCTCGAAGGCAGTTGGAGGGGGCCACTTCGTCCATGACAAGTTAGAACGCATCACGATTCAAGGACGCCAGCAATGGTGCAAGTGCTCAGAGCCTTCGCATGGCTGGCATTTTATCGCAAGAGCTCAGGGTATGTTGTCCTGCCAACTCCTTTTTACTGGGCTTCGAAGCTGCCGTCTGCCACCCTCTTTATGGCAGCGCAGAACAACATGGGCTAAGGGCTTTCAGGCCTCTGGCCGTTCCAGGCACCTGTGGGCTTGCTTACGCGCGCCAGCTTGTTGTCGGAGTCGGGCAAAGGCTTTGTGTGTCACTCGTACGCGGCCTCGCTGCATGCTGTAGACGACGGCACCGCACTTCGGACATTGGTGGGGGTGCCTCTGGCCACAGGCGATGCCGTCACGCACGCGAAAGCGTCTGGCAGACTCACACCTATGGTCGGTGCGAATACAGCTTCGCAGTTGGACGCCACAATGTTGGCAGCAACACCGGGTAGTGGAACAACAGCCAAGGTTGCAAAAACTCACTCCAACCAATAGGGGTCAGTGGCACCTGGGCGTCAGCCCAGTCTATCCGGCGATGCCGTTCCAACACCGCTATCAAGCTAGCTTGCTATACGGAGATGCTTTCCATGCCGCCGACTCGTCTTTCTAGCATCACCAGGGCTCATGCGGATTCGTCAAAAAACGTCAACAACAAGTGAAAAATGTTCAAACAAAATGGCCACTGTAAAGTTTATAGCTTCAAAACCTCTAGAAAATCAAGCATTGAAAATGGAGACAAACTTTGAGGACACATTTTGGTAGAGCATCATTTCGTTAGCATCAGCAGAGTCTCAGCAGGAAAGATGCAAATACTTTGAAACACTGTAACTGTAAGTTACAGTGTTTTTGCAAAATGTATGTAGTTTATGAACAATGCTGCTCGTCCTCTGGTGATGCCAATGGTGCTCGACACAAATGCTACCTCCAAACTTCCTCTCCCCTTTGCATACTTTCTTCTCTAGAGATAAAGCTTCACAGTAGCCATGTTTGATCATTTTTCCTCTGCTTTTGACTTTTTTCAAGTAAATACATACGTCCTGGCGATGTTCAAGCAGTCGGTTTGCGGCCGACATTTCTAGCACCACCTGGGCTTATATGGCTTCTTCAAATACCAGGACTTTGCCGTGGAAAACGTTGAGAAACTGTATTTTTGAACACTTTCTAGCCTAAAGCTATCTGTGTTTACAGGGCTCGCGGACGCAAAAGTGGCTCCAACTTCGCCTATTGGGTGTGCTCACGCGCTCGTGCGCGTGCGTGTGCACGAGCGCGTGTGCGTTCGTGTGCGTGCGGGTGCGTGTGTGGGTGTGCATGTGCGCACGTGTGTCTGAAGCTGAGGTTGCCCGGCTTTTTCCATCAGACCCTCGTGCGCACACCTGTGTGGGAGTGTGTACGCACAGGCGTCAGAAGCTGTGCTAATCGTCGACGTTGCTGCGCAAAGACCCTGCGGATACGCGCAGTCCCCCCAAGGGCATCGCCAGTTGGCGAAGGCTGTCAGTTACAGATTTTTTATATGAGTCAAAATGTATTGCACTGGCACCTCTCAACTATTTTATGCTTGTCCTTCTCCTGCAAGGACTCAGAGCCCTTGCACAGTGCGCTCCAACAAAGGCCCTTTCTCAAAATGACCTGTGAGACTATGGTGATTTCTTCTGCCAGAAGCCGTAGCCTTCGATGAAAGTAAACATGTATTGAAAGACTGAGATTCTCACGCACATACTTTCCAGCTTCCATGCATTTTGGAGGCTCCAACTGAAGGGTGCGTCATTCTTTTGAATGTTGCCCATCCTTCCTTCACGTTAGCGGAAGAGCTTGGAAATTGACGCATCCTCTCACCAATACAGAGGCAAAAGGAGTCCAGAATTGTCAGCTCTCTCATCGCGCTGCAGTCCCTGAAGGTAAACTTTCCTATGCAGATCACAGAGTTGCGGATCTCCAATGCTGCCAATGAGCGTCGCAGAATTGGGGGCTGACCATTCTCCAAAGGAGCTGCAGCCTAAGCACTTGTACCAATTTCAGTGACCGCCTGCAAAGGTTCTGTCCTCAATTCCCACACAGTGTTCAGCATGTGGACAGTCAGCAAATCTTCTGTGCACCCGATTCGTCTTGTCTCGAGCATTCCACTGAATCATTGACCCCGAAAGGACCTGGACCTGTATGTTGAGCCTGTTTTCGAGACCTAAAAACTCAGCCGAGAAAAAGAAAATTACTTTACTTCGAGTGATCCCCACCATGACAATTTCAATCATTCGTCTTGATGCCATAGCGAGGAGCTTGTTGCCATGGTCGTGAGTATTGTAGTCCTCGATTTGCTTGTGGGTCCTCGGGTTGTGTGCTGTGGTTGTGTGTTGTGGTTGTAGCTGTGTGCTGTGTTGTGGTTGTGGTTGTGTTTGTGATTGTGAGTTTGTGGCTGTGTGTTTGTGATTGTGTTTGTGGTTGTGTTTGTGGTTGTGTGTTTGTGGGTGGTTGTGTGTTTGTGGTTGTGTGTTTGTGGTTGTGTTTGTGTTTGTGGTTGTGTTTGTGGTTGTGTGTTTGTGGTTGCGTGTTTGTTGTCGTGTGTTTGTGGTTGCGTTTGTGGTTGTGTGTTTGTTGTTGTGTTTG